ATGGAAGTGCCCATTTCGGTTACAACGACATTCGTTTATAACGACACTATTTTTAGGTCCCTTTGATGACGTTATAACCAAGTTCTACTGTATATATTTCTTTTTAATTCTTTGTTTAATACTGATTGTACCAAATCTTCTATCTCAAGAATGCAAATTCTAACCATACAATAAAAAAATCTGAACTGGTTAATCTATGACGAACCCACATGAAGAAGTCACCTACTTGTAGTCTTACTAGCTCAAGAAATCTAATTTCACCACCACCTTAACCATTTCTTCTTGATTATCCAGTGACATGATGCCTGGAAGCCGGAATAAGTGCAATCTGAGAAGCGCTGTGGAGACGCCCATTGCTAGGCAACGGCTCAGTAAAGGTTCCTGCAGCAACAAAGATGCAAACAACAACGGAACTGTTGGAGACGGCATTTCCTACGTGATCTGACCTTATGTTACTAACAGGGGCACAGTGAGTTTCATGACTCAATCAGCTGGGGGAAAAAAAAATACTGTCATGGATTCCATGGGGCCCAGAATCAACAATGACTGTGGCAACAAAGGGCAGCAGTTCACCCAAAACCATGACTAAGCATACTGATCACAGTATATATACACTCAACTCTCGATTATCCGGGGGCGGATAAACCTGTTTGCGGCTTAACCGGGGTTTTTTGAGGCTTATGTTGTTTCACATGGTGAGTTGTAACACTATTTTCGCACTAGTGTGAACCGAACTCTGCACTTTTTCGTCCCGTTATGCTAACACAGTGTTCTAGAATAGGGGTGAAAGAATGCAAGGATTTGTGGAAAGTTTCGAGGACAGATACACAGCCCCAGTTAGTATCTTTGTATAGATCTTCAAGTGCGTTAGCAAAATGTCAGGGTGTAAAAGGAAGCGCGTTGTGTTAAGTATTCAACAGAAACTTGAAATTATCAATGTTGGGGAAAAAGAGGTGTAGTTAAACGATTAGCAATGCAATACGGTATTGGGAAAAAACTGTTCGTGATTTGAAAAAACAAAAGAATCAATTAATTTCCTTTGCTTTGTCTTCCAATTCAAGCGGAATGAAGAAGAGAAAAACCATGAAAGAATCAACATGATGATCTCGACATAGCAATGCTGATCTGGTTTAATCAACTAAGGGCACAGGGAACAACCACAGGAGCAGTTTGTGCTAAACAAGCGAATTTTTTTTTTCCGAAGCACTTGAACTACAAGGAAGTTTTGACGCTTCTTTCGGTTGGCTAACACGTTTCAAGTAGCGTCATGGAATTCGATAAATTAGTATTCAAGATGAGAAATTGTCAGGGGACTGGTCATCAACAGTTCAATTTTGCACCAATTTTCATAGTTTCGTGAAAATCTGCTGCCAGAACAAATCTATAATGCCGATGAAACAGTTCTTTATTGGAAATGCTTGCCAACCAGAAATTTGGCATTTCAATATGAAAGACAGGCTCCAGGTCATAAATCCAGTAAGGAGAGACTGACAGCCTTGTGCTGTTCTAATGCATCAGAACACACAAACTAACACCAGTAGTTATCAGCAAAGCGAAAAGACCACTCTTTTAAAGGAACAGTAGCTTCAAGTCTGCCTATCCATTATTTTAATCAGAAAGGAGCTTCGATGAATAGATATTTATAGAATGGTTTGATTTTAAATTTGTGACCATCTAAAATCCCAAGGCCTACCTGAGAAAGCTGTGTTCGTCACTGACAATGTGCCCTCACATCCTAACGAAAGTCTCCTGAGGTCAGATGATGTAAATATTTTCCTCTTAATGTTACTGCACTTATCCAACCAATGGATCAAGGAGTTATCTCAAGTATGAAGAGAATCTACAGATCAAATTTGCTACAAAAGTACATCGATGAAGGCAATGATCTGACGTGTTTATGGAAGTCTTTTTCAATGTTAGATGCCANATGAGGAAGAGGTGGACAGTGCTGCTAGTAAGATAATATCACATGGTGCTGCTCTTAATCATCTGGAATCTTTACTAGACTATCTTGAGAGTGAAGAGAACAGTCTATTAAGTGACAAGCTAATATTACGTAGGCTTCGTACGGATATCCATAAAAAGGAAAATGCCGCGGAAAAGTAAACGACAATAATAATTTTTTTTTAAGCGTTAAGTGTGAATATTTGTAAAAAGTGTTGGATGTTGCTGAAGACTGTGATTGAAATAACCAATTCATACTTCAGTGTAATGTAAAAAAGTATTAAATAGGCCATGAGATGACATAATAATGAGGTTGAATAAATTTAAATACAGCTAGGCCTATAGTATTATGAAGGTACAGTATTAAGGTACTACTTTTGATAAAATTTGTCTTAACCGGGTTTTCGATTAATCGTGATTTCCATCCCCACCATTATCCCGGATAATTGAGAGTTGAGTGTAACTTCACTCACAAAAGTGACTGTTACGCTATATTCGAACATTTTTAAACAGCCACAAATTTTCCTGATAATCTGTCATTTTTGGGGGGGGGGGCTGAAAGTACAGCATTACTGCTCAAATGGTTCATCTGGGGTTACGAACAGGTAATCTGACACATGAATCATTAAGCATTTTCCAAAGACATTACTGCTGCTTTCTTTGGGGACATGAAATAACCCTAAAAGTTTCACGCAAAAAAAAAAATTCTCTACTATATCCAGGGCTTTGTTTTTGGCAGTACACTTGTTTGTCGACTTATGACCGGCTGCACTTACGACCACAAAAAAATGAAAAATAAATGATGATTAAATGTAAAAGTTTTTAAAAATAAATTATACAGATGATAAAAAGATTAGAAAGGTTAAAAAATACTGTTAATAAATAAATAAATATGGCCGACATACAACCAGATCAACTTACGACCTGTCAGTCAGTTGTAAGTCAACGACAAAGTGTATACAACAGTATATCGTACCAGAAACTCCTTCACAAAACACACACAATGAAAAAGTATGTCAATAAAAACGGCAAATGGTGAAATCAGAACAAACTTCAGCAGTTAAGTCCTTCATATTTGTCAATTCTGAATAAATCACAGAAATACTTTTTTGTCAAAAATGAAAATTCCAGTGTCATAAATAGAATACTGCTTTAGTGTTGCGATCTTTGGTCAGCTAGACCATGCATGCACTTCAGCAATATTGCAATTCATCCCAATAAAGGCTAATACATTAATTACAAAGACTGCAACTGTTCAGGTAACATGGAAATCACAAAATAAAAACCAACACCTTATGCATGTGAAGAGCATGATTTATTTTTTTCTTGCCAAATGTTTCAAATTATTGCTTGCAGTTTGTTTAGAAACATCTCAAATCCAAATCTCTCATTACATGTGTCTGAAGTTTTCAAATAATTCCAATTCCCATATCAATAAGCCTGACAATTATTCAACAAATCTGAGAACTGAATTCACACAATGTAAAAATCTTTTAAAACAAAGCTGCAATACTGTAAATGACTCAAGATCAATGAAGTAAAAGACAAATATTCGCTATGAACTGAAACACATATAACTTGGAAAAATTGGGAACTTTGCATCTGTTGAAAAATTTGCACCATAATTAATTGAACTGACCATGGCACGGCCAAAAGTGTGCATAATGTGGTCAACAACTGACTGGCACTTCATGTTTTCCTCATTTTCATTAATTTCTGCATCTCAAGGGTATATTTCCCAATTTGAGAACAGTTATTAACTTATTAGTTACTGCTACATTAGTTGGTAGTAAGATAAGCAGGACTGTTTCATTATAAATCTCATGTTGCTACATGATTTGGTCACACTGCAACTCTCAAATCATTGAAAGAAGCCTAGATGAACGCAGCATTTTCATAATTATGTCAATCTAAATGCTTATTTAAAACATGTGAAACTGCCTCCATCAATAAAAGAAATTTATGGTGCCCTCACACATTTTTTCTGAATTTTTTTAAGCCAATTTTCAAGTTTTGATGCCAAAAATATACGGGTATCAATTTACTATACCAAAAAAAGTTTATATTTTATGGTTTTGTATATTTACTTTCTTTCAATGTGACCCCGTTCCCTCCCCCCACTCCCACCTCAGTGGCCCCTGTGTTAGTATGAAAAATTGTAAGTCATAAAATAAAGAATTCATAAAAGTGTTTAAAGAATATAGATCAATGACAATCAGTTCAGGAGGGCCACACCCTGAACCAATGTTTATGCCACTATGACTATAATTTTGGAAGAAGTTATTGAAGATAGTACTATGCAATTTGCAGAGTAAGCAATTCAATATCAATGGATGGCCAAATATAATTGTGCACTTCCTATAGAAATTCATCAAAACCTATGCTACAGCAAATGCCCTGAATAAAGAAAAAGAAGAAAGAGTAGTTTCTGCATGGAAGAAATGTTAGTACTTATGACAAAAGTTGAAGAGATGCATTTGCTTAGCATACTTCCTGATCAAAGAACAGGGAACGCAGCGTATCACAGCCAGTACTAGATTTATATCTTCTGGCTGGTCTCTGAAGGCTTACTTCACAAAAGGAAGCTGCTGCTTAACTGACCTTCACATTTTGGATCTCCTTCAAAGCAGGTACATCTTTTACCCACGCTGATAAACAGCACAACTGTAATACATCACATCACTCTTTTCAGGAGATACCGCCATCTTTGCTTTGGCAGTCTACTGAAGCGCAAACTCAATCCTAATCTTCTGGCTCAATTTCACAATAAAATTAGAACAAACAAAAAATAATACTTTCATACCTTGTGAAAAGTTATCTCCCTTACTCCATCACACAATATTTTTAATAACTTCATACTACTGTCATATTTCACTTGTTAACGCACTGTTTTGAAGCATTTCTTCCTCCATAATGAAATTAACTTATAAATATAATTGTGGCGGAAAAAAAAACTGTCCCTTACGCCACTTGTATTCTTCGACAATACCACACCGTAATCACTTCGATATCACTCCGAACTATTTACAAGTTCTGAACTTATACAAAGTTGTGGTGAACACCTTGCTCATTTCAGTTTTGAACTCAAGTACAAATCTATTTACACGACACAGTTTGTAAGAGATCCTCAATATCGATTACGTAATTATGATATACACAAAGTATTGCTTGCACTGCAACATTTGATCGCTTAACGTTATGCAATTATTTTATGATGGACTGAATATCCAGACATATGAAAGCTTCTCCATGGAAAGGGTCATATGAAAGCCCTTGATAAATGAATTCTATTACACATGTAATTCATAATGTGAATAAAAAATCTAAGCCTGAATAAAGCAAGTATGGTTTGTAAAGGGAAAGTGCTACTCCTAATATTCAGGGAGATCCAAAAGATGTTCAACTACATGGTGTTAATGACTGAATATCAGTTGAAGCAATTTCCACAAACTTAAAGATTCTTCTGTGCCTCAGAATAAAATTCATGTACCATGGAACTTTCACAACCCATCTTGGCATTTATAAAAATAAATTTACTAAACTAGTCACTCTTCACCTCCCCATCAATGGATCATATATTCAACAGATCAGTTATCTTAGATAACTTTAGAATCAGTATGAGCAAACTCTACCATTTATAAGAATGTTGTATGCATGGATTGAAATAATGATCCACTACTGGAGTTGTGCAAATAACAGTCTAGGAATTCCACCAAATCAAGCCACAGAGTGAAGATGGCAACGCTCACTATATAAACTGTATAAAAATCTAGACAACAAAAGTCTTCTATTTCTTCTCTGAAAATCTTCCACAAACACGGAAAAATTTCAACAAAAATTCTTGGCATTTTTAACAAAGAATCTTCAGTTTTCTTTCACTTTGTAATCCGTGGCTTGGGTGGTAAACTGTATGTACGGTTGTGTACATTTACACACGGTATATACACTGTCTTGAAAAAGAAATGGAGGAAAACTATCGTCACTTAAACGTTTCATAAATTAAGAGGATACATCTCCGACGTGATTATCACAGGAGTCTCTATTTGCTTACATTTCCTTCCTCAATTCCCTGAGTATCTTCAAGTTTCGCAACATATAGCGAAGGATCAATCACCTGCAACATCAAAGTTCAAAAGTAAAGGTTTCTGTTTTGCAATTCAAAATAACATAATACAGTATGAAACCTTGATGGCAGAGACAGGGAAAGAAAAGCATAAGCACGAGTTTCCTAGTGTGCACACGCATGCACAGAGAGACATATATTATTATTGTTATTACTGATTTGAGGAAAGTAGTGAGGGAGAATAAAAAAAGCATAAACTGACAATGTTTCATAGACAAATGCAAATACCCAATATCTTGCCTCCCCCCCTTCCCATACTTAGCTCTGGAACCTAAACTATACAGCACATATTATGATTACCCAAGAAATCATTTACTGCTATTTTTATTGAATTCTTCAAGCGTTACTTTACTGTCTGACATGTCTATTTTAATTATTTTTACAGTGAGATTAAAACAAAACAAAACCTAGCCTGAATTTCACACACAAGCACTTAGCTGTCGATGGTGACACGCCTCTGAACACACTATCCGGAAGCTAATTCAAAATTTAAGAGATGATCTGTCATTTGTACTTAAAACTAAAGTATATTTTGTATGCACTGGAAAGAACAACTAATGCTTCATTCAAACCTGCTGCTTTGAAATACAAAGATTCTCCTAACAATGGCCTATGAATATGAAACCCTCATGCAAGGCAAAAGTTTGATAACCACAACATTAAGAGTGTGCACTGGGGTTCAATTCCCAGCAAGGGCAAAAGAACTTTCTCTATTCCGCAGCGTCCACACTGGCTCTGGGGGTCCACTAAGCCTCCTGTCCAATGGTTACCAGGGGCTCTCTCATAGGAGTAAAGCAGCCAGGACAAAAAGTTTACCACCCACCCCCCCCACCTAGTGCCAAGGTCAAGATTGATAGTGCTAAACACAGACTCCCCAATATATTGTAATGAATTTGATCAATGCAGTTCCAGGCAGTGTCTCCATAAACATGTACCAACACATAATAGATAAAGCTGTTTTTTCTATGTGGTCTGTGACACGCAACAGTACAGAGCTGTGTTTTCTGTGCACAGTCTGTGCCAAGAAGATACAAGTTTCAGCGTAGATCAGTTCAGAGCATTTGAGAGGATGTCCCAGAAGAGTTCAGTCAAAAGAATGCAAATACAATGAATGACACAAAGCAGTTCAATTGGGCATTCAGTTCTGTATGGACGGTAAACAAAAGAATTAGTTGCAAGACTATGGCTTTGAAGAGTAGACTTCATATGTAATTTTTGGAGTGTGTAATTCAACGAGACTGTTATAGTTCCTGTGTTATAAATCTGTTGCCAGGAAAGAGATAGTGAAGACATTGTTGAGATCTGTTACCTAGCAATGACTACTGTAAGCAGACGTTGAAGACTTTATTTATGTGTTATAATTACATTAATTCAAAGAGTGCTATAATTATTTGTAGTTACGGCCTGTAAGTGGTCAATAACTCCGATTACTATTTCGAACACCATTGTTAGTCACTGATACACGTGACAATATCTTCATGGTATGGTGCTTAATTAAATATTATTTAATATTAATTAAAAAAAAATTCTGATGTAGAAGCTAGCTTCAAATATTTGGTATGGTAAGAGCTTTGAAATGTATATATTACTTTGCTTTCATGTTTTTATAGGCTGTAAAACATGTAAAAAAAAGTAAAGCTATCCCTGTACCAGGCCGTGAAGGCCCATAGGGTTGTGAGACGTTGAGGGTCCCACATTATCTAGACAATCGGCTCAAAGATGGCAGTAAGGTTGTCAGCCTTACGTGCCGGCTGTGCTTTACTCCACAGGAAAAGTAATTAATTAATTCCTGGTACTCATTTCTGTTAGAGGCTGAGTAAACCCCAGGGCCTACTGCAGCTGGAAGGATTAATTCAACTGAAAAAATCCGATGACCTCATTGGGACTTGAACCCGCGACCTTCTGGCTTCTAGCGTAGCCCCTCGACCACTACGCTACCGCGTGCCCCTCTGTAAAATACGTAGCCATGCAAAATTCACAATCAACATTCAGTTTGTTAGTGGTGATAATTATATGCAGAGATGAATCATAAACACACGCATGAATGTCAAGGAATATGAACATGGCCGAAAAGTGGAAGTTATGTTGGACTTTCAAGATGAGAAAACATTGGAAAGGTATGAACAGAAGTCAGTAAGCTGGACATTTCATTTCTAACAACTTCCATCCTCCGTTTATATCTAGTGTTAAGAGTGGTTTCGGAATTGACGAATCATGCAAAATTCAAATTTTGAGATCCCAGTTCACCTACAAATTTTTTGTGAAATATACCTTGAGTACTAAAAAAAGTAATGTGCACTGTGATCAGCTGACACACCTCATGGCAGATGTATACATAAAATTTTACCTTGGTAACCACATTATATACATACGTGGTTTGTGCATGTCTCCAGCAGATATTAAACATAAAACCAAAAATCATAAAATGCTGAGTCTTCTAAGATATCATTTAAACAGATAAATTATCACGTATATAGAAACTAGACAGAAAGATAACTAAATTATACTAACTGCTCACTTATAATTCATGGTAACCTCTCTGTATAACGAAGCACAAGAAGGATAAAGAATTTCATGAACTTTCGTTTACACATTTTAACTTCAAATGTTCCATGTTCCTCTAATGTCTATTCCTCCTTCATATAAGGAAAAAAAAATACTTTCAAACACTTCAAGCTCTTAGTGTGATATTTCTAACAGGAAGTAAATTCCAACATTTATGCCATATCATGTTGCTAGCATAGCAAGTGGGAAAGTGAGACAAACAAGGTCAGAACCAACAACCACAGGTCTGCCCGAAGATCCAGAGAAGTTATGAATCAAATGAGAAGTGGTAATTCCTTACATAGGTGTGTTGCAGTAAACACTGGGAAGCTGAGAATGGTGAAGACAAGAAAATGTAAGAAGAACCTGGATTAATGCATAACAATGTTTTCAAATATTTAGTACCTTTCATATGTTTGCACGTAGTATAGTAATAGTAGAATCTTGAAGATGATGGTTTGTAGTAGCTTTAAATCACAATTCACTTGGCATGTTGACTTTTGTGGGCTGCACCGAAAAGAAACCTGAACTGTTCCGCAGTCACATAGGGACAGGAAGGCTAAAAGGGCCAAGAGATCCTTGCAAACACAACCTTTATCCTGTAAAATCTTGTACCTGGCATAAATGGAGACTCAGATGGGTGACGGGATGCTGAAGTTGCAACCGCACCATCGAAATCCTTCCCCCCCTTCCTTTTTCAGTAGCTAATAGAGTTTATTAATGAGAAGTTACGAAGAAACAAAGGTTTAATTAAGACATATTGTAAGTACAATGAATAGGCAATGTGCAGATAGACCAAACTTGCATGTACAAGGACATCTGCTAGTCCTTACAACCAAGAATCTGGTGTTATTTTTCCAAAGGGCAGAAAGTGATACTTCAAGAAACCTCACTGAGATTCTTTATAAATATATGACAAAACACTTCGAGAATTTGAGAGGTGACAATATCTACCAGCTGTAAGTCAAGTGGGAGTGCCAGGAGATCGTTAGCAACCCCTCATAAGTTGCATCGCTGTCAATTTTGCCGTTTTGTCTTTTAGGGCAAAATTCTCTTAAAAATAGCCTGTCATTAGCCAAAACAAAAATTAAGTCAACTCCCCTTATTCAAATCGGCCTATCAAGGAAATTAGGACGATAGGAGAATGGGCAGATACAAATCAGTTAGGACCTCTGGCTCGGCAGAGAGGTCAGCCTAAGAGTATAGTAATCTATTAATTTTTTAACTTGGTGGAGGCAAACCCCACATCACTCGCGCAATAAGATAATTCTTAGTAGTCCACAATTTTTGCTCTCATAACAACTCATAGCAAGATTTAGCTTAATCAACAAGAGTGCGGCACCAATGAATTTGGCGAGCTGATCAAGTGCATTTTAGTCAAAGTGTAACCCCTGCGGCTAGCCAGCCAAAACTAAATCAGGTTGTAAGAATTTATGCAGCCAAGTGTCGTTAGGAAGTAGGCTATACTTCGCAGCTCAAACCATACTCGCTAAGTGCGTAGTCAGTCACGTCACCAACAGCTATTTCACAGGGGTGCGTAAGTCCTGTGTATGAAGTCTAATAGCTGTGATGAAAGTTGTACCATGTTAATCGCAGGAACAGCAATAGTGTTGTGGTGTAAAGTGCACTGTATTGATCAGAGCTGTTTCACCCTCATTTGTCCGAGCCTGACCTGTATTTGACCTGAAGAGAGACTAATCTCCAACTAGCTACTCAAACACACTGTCAGCTTCCACATGTTCACCTCTTCACCACCTACTATCAAATCATAAACAGCCTCTAGCTGTTTGCTGGTGCCCATATTATCAGATCCAATCCTAAAATCCAACGACTAATCATCCCAACTGAAGGAAGAAGCTGTGGAGCCGGGTCAAGCCAAAACCAGTTATGAGCCAGCAACTTCAGCAGCAGCAGCAGCAGCAACAACAACAACAACAGGTAGGGCAGAGTCAAAGTGGTCATCAGAGCAGAGGGGCCGATCGCTATCAACTACCACTCCCTGCATGACCATTTGGACGGAGCCGCAGGCAAAAAAAAGGGGGGGGGGTGGTTACAGAGTGAGCGCAAAATATATGCAGCACAGTTGTCATGGTGTCTGTCCTAAGTACAGTACACATCCAACTCTTCTGCTGTGGAGCAACCACTTTCCCAGACTATTGGAATCCAGTGGGGGCATACAACAATAATCCAGGTGGTTTAAAACAAACTGTTAAGAGAATTTTTGTCTACTGATGCAGGTCTGGAATCCTCTAGCTTTCTAAACAGTCTTCAAAGTGTAAGGTTCTTTCTGTTTTCTTTTTATACTTGCATGACACATATCTGCACCACTTCTGTTAAAGTAAATATTTGTAATTAACAAGAGACTGTTATTTTCCATTTGAGTTTTATATAACCTCCATTCAAGATTTTTTTTTCCAATTTAAGTTACAAAAAGTACCCAAGACAAAATTTCAAAGGGGATTTCAACCCCAATGGACATCAATGGCATGGTAATGAGCACTGACCTTACACAATTTTGAAGGTTTTTACTGTTACTGAGGTGGATTTTTTCAATTTATCCAATCCTTCAAGATGCACTATGGCCCTGGGATTGACTCAGCCTCTAACAGAAATGAGTACCAGGAATATTCTTGGGAGTAAAGGGCGGCTGAAGCGTAAGGCTGACCACCTTACCACCTCCATGAGCCAACTGTCTAGAAAATGTGGGAACCTCAACATCTCACAACCCTATGGGCCTCCACAGCTTGTTACAGGGATAGCTTTACTTTCTTTTTTTACCTTACTGTTACTGACATCACAATTTTACAACACACAAACTCGACACAGTCACTCCCAGCAACTCTGCTACTGCACCTACCCACAACCCAGTCACTTTTAACAGCACACTGGCATTTACAGCAGTTCATGTGAAGACATGAACAAAAAATGACCTACTTGTGTCCAAAGAATTGAAAAGATAGCCTTGTGCACCACCTAATGACAGACTGGAATATAAAATGTAAGCTTCGAACAGAACTGAAGCACAGAAATTCATGAAGTGAGAGAAGAAATAAACCTGATTTCCTTACTTTTGGAATAGGCTTGATCTCTGTGCCAAGTTCTTGTTCGATGCGATGCAGGGCAAAGCGGTCCTCATATGTAATCAAATTGATTGCAATCCCAAGATGACCAAATCTTCCAGAGCGACCAATACGATGAAGGTACGTCTCCGCCATTTTGGGAAAGTCAAAGTTGATTACTACATTTACTGCTTGGACATCTATACCCCGTGTAAACAAATCTGGAAAAGAATTCTTAGGTTAATACAGTACAGGAGACCAAAAATACCAGGACTGGAAAGTATGACTATTAGTTCAGAGTCTACGTTTTAGTCACAACTAAGTCTAATGTGGCAGAGTGAATGATCAGAGAACTAACATATAATCCTCACAATGAACTTTTCCAGACAGCCCTATTCCTTGGTCACATGAGCATGCTTTAAGACTCAAGGAATTAATGTGATCTTTTAGGAAGAAGTATGCTTTTTTTTAAAATCACAGAAAATGCACGAATAACATCAACACTACATTCCAGCTACATGTACAACATTTACTCCTTGTTCATGAGAAAACACTACCCTGAACATCAATTACAAGTAACAAGTTCAGCAGAACATTTGGCTAGGGAGTACCAAAGTCTCTTATCACAACACAGAACAATGTCTCCTATCCAAATGCCATTCATTTACAGATGCTCCCATGAAGTTGCCAAACAAGCACAGTATGACAACAGATTTTAGGTTTTCACAGCGATGACAATGAAGAATATGACTGCCTGGGTTGTGACGCCATACAGTTCAGACAAAGTCTGATGCTTCACGACTTCATTTTCAGGCTCACAGAGAAGGGCATGCTTTAAGCCAACTCTAAAGCAGTGAATATAGGAGTGAATGGGTAAACAAAGATTCAAACAGCAGTTAACATTACCACCACAACATAACCAAGTGCTGTGGTGGCTTTCCTAATGCTGGATTACTTATAATCTTTTCATATTCCCTACTCAAGGAATCACATATCTTTAAATTCATTCTCATTCTTAAAACTAACGTCCAAATAATTTTATTCATGAGATTCCAAAATATTGCATTTCACAGAAGCTGTCTCATGGGACATCACAATGTAAGCAACAAGTTGACAAAAAGACTAGAAAGAAATGCTTAGCTCTAGCATACACTCTGACCAAAGTATGAAGCAGCGTAATTCAAACCATTCTGGAAAGGATGGCACAAGCTTATGGAAAAGTCTAGCATAAATACAACCCACAGAATAGACTTAAAATGTGTATAAAATTACTACATACAACCATTCAACATGGCACTTACTACACTCCATCACAGATATTTCACTGTATCCTACCTGAACACACTAGATTCCTGCACAATCCAGCACGGAAGTCATGAAACACCCTGTTACGATGAGCTTGTGCCATTTTGGCATGGATGTAATAACAGCAATATCCCAACTCTGTAATTTTCTTCGCAAGGAGTTCTACTCTCTGCGTTGAATTACAGAAGATTATACTTTGGTTGATTTGTAACTGTAAAAGATCAAATATTTTATATATACTCTTAGTTCGCAATGCTGATGAAGATGCAGTACAAATTTCACTGAACAAGACTGCTCTACAGCAAACACTTCTTAAAGCATAAAAACTGTTGTCACTAATTCAATTACCAAATGAATTTGATCACATATAGTGAAACAATTTGGAGCATAGCTCTGTATGGGGTTGAAACATGGACACTTAGGGCAGTAGATCAGAAACACCTGGAAAGTTTCGAAATGTGGTGTTGGAGAAGGATGGAGATAAGTTGGACCAATTATGTGAGAAATGAAGTGTTAATCAGAGTCAGTGAGCAGAGGAATATCCTACACGAAATAAGAAAACGGAAGGCTAATTGGATTGGTCTTGTTTTACGCAGAAACTGCCTTCTAAAATATGCTATTGAAGGAAAGATAGATGGGCGGAGAGAAGTGACAAGAAGACGAGGAAGAAGACGTAAGAAGATGCTGGATGGCCTTGGGGACAGAAGAGGATACTGTCATTTGAAGGAGAAAGCTCTAGATCGCATTAAGTGGAGGAATTGTTTTGGAAGAGACTGTGGACCTGTTGTCTGACAGATTACTGATTATAGTGAAACACCAATTTAAGGGAGCCACATTTTACATTTTCCCCATATTTATGGTATATTTATTGTAGTCCAAAACAAAGCTCCACATGCCTGATGTACCATTTTCCTTGATTTAAGAGTTTACCCACACTTTATGCACGAAACTTTGATTCCTATGCATGTTTGAAATCTCATTCTAGAATTAAAGGGATTGCTTTTGGGGGGTGTTCCAACTCTAACATGGGGAACCCTGTGAAGTTCAAAGGTCATCATCTGGACAGCACAGAATGCAGCATGGCTGTGGCTGTCTATGCCCATTCTTTGTTCATTTTCTGCATCAGGTGGAAGCGGTTACTGTTTGACCTCTTTGCATTGTTTTCATGTGTCATTTTTTGAAAGTGATTCTGAAGCAATGAAATGACCATGGTGTTGAAAAGAAAGAAGTGAAAATTATTCAGGAGGTCGAAAACAATCAAAATCTTTCATGAAATGAAACGACAAGTGTCATGTGCTGCCTCTGTCATCACTAAGTAACATATTTATGTGGAAAGCTGGTGTGAGGGACAAAAGACACTCCTACATTTGAGACAATGCGACACTATATGACTTCCTCTGACTGAAGATGCGAGCATGCAGCAACTGACAACCAGAATGGGAGTTGTCATTCTGCTGGACATGTCAAACAAAACAAACAACTCTTCTCGATTATAATGTTGTATTTTAGCGTCCTGTTGCACTGACTTTCATCCATGATATGTATACAGTTGCCGTCTTGTAGTGCACTCAATTTCACCTGTTACTTCATGACATGTTTTGGCGACATAGTGCCATCATTCACTGCATTGCAACACTCGCAGCTAAGAAGGGAACACACATCACAAGACATGGTTTACGCAGAATATAAGAAAAACGACCCCCATAGTGGAAGAACCACACACAAGTTTTAATTATGACACATACGTACTTTTTAAATACCTTTTAAATAATTTTATAAAGGCAAGCAATGAAATAGATTAGCGTAATTAGGGCACCTGATGATGGCACTATGTTGCCGAAACATGTCGTGAAGTTAACAGGTGAAACTGAGTGCACTACAAGATGGCAACTGTATACATATCTTCTCGATTACTTCAAGTAATCTATTTAGGTATGCATGCTTGCATTATTTTTTATTCCACAAGATAACTTATAGCATAGCTGGAATTTATGTCTTATTCACAAGTATGATTTAATGTCATGTCTTTCATGTTTTAAACAAAAATTTCTTCTTTCTACATTTTGTTGCTAACCTTACTGTATTTCGTGATTCTAATTATATTTTACAATCAGTACTTTTTTGTGCATGATTTTGTAGTCTTACTGAAATTTATACCCTATAATACAGTGCTTCTTTAACACTGTAAAAATGAAGTTTTGTGTTTGTAAATATTTATATGGTATTTTCATTTTATTAAATAAACAAGATCCTGAGCCTTACTACTGATTAAACTAAGTTTAACAATCATTTGTTTTTTTTTTTTCCAAACCCTCATTTAAGCTACAAGAAATGTCCCCATAAAGAACCTTAAACCAGGGCTTCACTGCATAATAAGAAAGTGAACAAAACTCTGAATGTTTATTTTGCTTTTTTGGCTTGTCAATATTTAAAACTGTAATTTGTATAAGGGGCAATCAAATGAAAACAGGTCACCACGCATAACTCACACGGAGCACCAGTTGGTTAACACTGGAATTTGCTTACGGTACAAACATCTGATGGGGACTCGGGAAAGCACAGTGACAATGTGCCCTTGCACACTAGTCGCTTGATTATTGTGTTGGAAGTAAGGTTAGTGCTACGTGTGGTCGTCCAACATCAGTAACGGATGCAGGTAAAGAAGAAGAGCAAAGTGCAGTGCACTTTTTAACTGCTGAAGGAGGAGGAGGAGGATGAGAAATTTGTTGTTGCAGGTCTGTTGTTTACGGCGAACACAGCATGTCACACTCACGTGTGCTGGTGTGGCATAAGAAACTCTGAGAGGGACATCTGTCACTGCAATATGATGCTTGCCCACACCAGGCTCATCGTGGAATCAGTCTTTTGATGGGAATAAGTCACGGTTCCGTACATGCCATTGTGACAAAACACCTACTGTACTGCAAAATCTGTGCGCAGTGGGTTCCACTTCAACTCACGGAGGAACAAAAGACTCAGAGAATGGCTGCATCACTGGGTCGCTTGCAACGATACCATGAGGATGAGTATGCTTTTCTGTCCTGTATTGCCACTGGGGACGAAACTTGGTGCCACCATTTTGAACCCGAGAGAAAACAGCAGAGCCAACAGTGGAAACATGTGAATTCTCCCCCAACGAAGAAATCAAAGCTGTACACACAAGTTCCGGTAAAGTGGTGATGACCTTCTTTGACTGCAAGGGCCCTCTGCTTGTCAAATTTCTCGAGCATGGGGCCACAATCAATGCACAGCACTATGAAGACACTTTGCAGACTCAGACATGCCATAGTCAAAATGCCTTGGAATGCTATCAAACAGCATTATCCTTCAAGATAATGCGTGCCCCCACACTGCCAACTCTGTGAAGAATACGCTACAGAGATTTGGTTGGGAAGTGTTTCAACATCCCCTACAGACCAGCTCTCTCCCCATGTGATTTTCACATTTTTGAAGACATGAAGAGACATTCGTGAACATTGGTTTGCATTCGACAATGACATGTGTGGCTGGTTAAAGAAGTGGTTCCGTAGACAGCCCACAAGCTTCTTCAAGGATGGGATTGACCGCCTTATCTCCCAGTGGGATAAATGTATTAACAGTTTTGGAGATTACTTTTGAGGTAAGAAATGTTCTTTAATATGTTTTGGCTTCTGACCTGTTTTCATTTGACTGCCACTCATACAATGACAATATATCAATTCTTTCAATAGCATCAACAACTGTATCTGTCATGTCTTGAATCCTAGACCCCAACTGCAATGAAAGCAGGAGTACAAAATACTCAAATTTCCAAGTCACAAAATTTTTATAAAAATTGGAACTAATATTATATTGAAGTACATTCATGTGAAATGTTGTCAAATGTACTTTCCTTGATAACTGATGTGTTGTACTATATCATGCACTGTTTGCCTTGTGCCAGATTTTTAAGGTGTCAGCATGGTGATGATTTATTTAATCAGCATAAAGAAAATAACCACCATAATTCTCATGAGTTTATACTAATAAGATTTTACCATATTCCACTGCGTGTTATGCCAGAAAGCCAGCAAACCTTTAGGTTACATAATTCCAAATTACCTTAGAGAAGAGGGTGTTCAAACAGTGCACTTTCTGCCGCTCTTGCACAAAGGCATAATACTGTGTCACCCCTTTCAGTGTCAACTCTTCCATCAAGTTGATTTCATATGGTTCCCGCAAATGTTTCTCCTGTTCAAAAAATTAAAAATTTCAAGGACATCCAAAAGCTACACAAATGCAACTTACATTGAAGTATCCAGCTAACATCTCTTTGGCTGACAGTGGACATCAATACTAGTCAAAAAGTGCCAGGAGGAAAAAATTACAGCGAGGCTACAATATGGCTGAAAATTAAACTGCACTATTATAATCTCATATATCACAGCAAGTTTTTTTTGTGTATGAAATGTTACTTGTACCATACCTGAACATGTGTAAAGTCAGATAAAAAAAACTACAGAGGTCAAGCTGACAGTGACAAATTTTCACCAGATTCAGTGCATTTGTGATGCAGAACAGCTGTTCCTATTTCCAAAAAAGAAACAGCATGTAAAAGAATAACAATATTCAGTATGAATGAATGCGATGACATAGGGGCAACTTTGCTTACATATCTGTGTTAGGCCTGATGTGTAATTTATATAGATGCAATGAATTTCCAAAACATGTGGTGGGGGGGAAGTGGGTTCAAAGACTTACTTCAAATAACTTCTGGGGTTAAATGCAGCTCAGATACTGAGTATTTCTGCATCTTTGGATTATCAGTCCTTTCTAATTACCCATTCAACTTCTCCCCTTTATTACCATGGATAAACAAGGGTTCACTCTAACACCTAACTACTATATTCTACAAAGAAGAAGCTTTAGAACAAGGCATAAGAGGGAATAAGAATAAGGTTGGTGGGTTTAAGGCAATGTATCAATACTAACCATGAACTGCTTTACTGTGAGTGGAAATGTCGCTGAAAACAGTAGTATCTGTCTTTCTTTGGGTAACCGGGAGATGACATGGTCCAACATGCCCTTGAAGTCTTGTGATAGCAGTTTATCGGCCTGTGATCAAACATAAAACGAATTAAATATCTGAGTTATTCATCAGTGTTCTTCGAAAAAGGATAAGTAAAAGTAAAGGTATCCCCATAAAAGGCCGCAGAGGTCAATAGGGTTGTGAGATGTTGAGGTTCCCACATCTTTTAGACAATCGGCTCATAGAAGGAAGTAAGGTTGTCAGCTCTATGCACCGGCCACCCTTTAGCTCCAAGAATATTCCTGGTACTCATTTCTGTTACAGGCTGAGTCGACCCAAGGGCCATAGTTCAGCTGGAAGGTAAATTGAAAATAATCAAACGACCTAATTGGGATTTGATCACGTGATCTTCCGGCTTTTAGTATAGTGTCTCAACCAACTATGCTACCACATGCCCCTACTGGAAAAAAAGGATGGGCACTCATAAATAACAAAGATGAAACATTAATTTCCATTTCTAGGTATTTCTTATGACAAACATGTAAAAATAAGTAAAGCTATCACTGCAACAGGCCATGAAGGCCCATAGGGTTGTGAGACGTTTGGGTTCCACATTATCTAGACAATCGGCTCAAAGATGGCAGTAAGGTTGTCAGCCTTACGAGCCGGCCGCACTATACTCCCCAGAAAAATTATTTAATTAATTCCTGATACTCATTTCTGTTAGAGGCTGAGTCAACCCCAGGGCCATAGTTTGGCTGGAAGGATTAGGTCAACTGAAAAAATCCAATCATCTAATCGGGATTTGATCCCGCGACCTTCCGGCTTGTAGCATAGTGCCACAACCAACTACACTACCGCGTGCCCCATGACAAACATGTACAATCCCTGAAACAGAGACCCATGTTTGACATCTATGTTAATATACAAAATTATTTTTTCCTGAACAAGGAAGACAAACCATTCTTGTAAGATATGAAGTGTCCATGACACACTAAAATCTTCCCGTTCAATTAGTCATGTATATATAGTTAAAAGCACGTTTCAGGCCATCCCAAATGATAAGAGACAGGCAAGACCCCAAAATGCTGGTTTCTAACACAACACTGATGTGGCCTCGGAAACTTCTTACTGAAAAAACATTCATACTGTAAACATGTAAACACAATTCTAGTTTTGCAAACCAAAAGACAATATGTTTCAACGTAAAATCGGAATCATACCTTCAGAAAGCCACGGAAATGCTGCCATGCACAGGCTAATTAACCTATTCACTTCTGTAAGCACATACGTATATATGGAGTGTTGTGAAACTGGCCTGTGTCACCAAAGGGGCAGAAATGTGTGAAAGGTACTTTCATTCACCCATCTTTCAGTGTTTCATCAAGTTGCAACTGTTATTTTTGCTCTATCACAGCTTTCATTTATTTATATTATACACACATACACACATATAGGAGCTGTGAAATTGCAGTCAATACTGGGACTGGCTGATGGGCTGATGACAGGGGTTGGATTTCAAGTCCCAGTAGGGTCAAGAATTTTCTCTTCTCCACATCATTCAGACCACTTCTGGGGCCCAACCAGCCTCCAATCCAATGGGTACCAGGGCTCTTTCCCCGGGGGTAAAGCAGCTGGAGCGTGAAGCCAACCACTCACATCCAAGTAGTGCCAAAGTCAAGAAAACGTGGATCTATACGTCCATTCCAATACATGTCTTCACGGCATAGTGCTTAAATAGTTAAGCACAGGGACAACTTTACCTTTACCCTTGCCTTACCCTTTTCACACGTGTGCGCGCACACATATACATGTTGAAATCTGGTTAAGAATATTTTAACAAGTATCAATATTTACTGCAGTTAAAAGAATTTTGCTTTGTTGTGCTAAAAATTTGCTCTCCACAGTCAATGCCTGGGAAAATGTTTCATGATGCAAACAAGTTAATGTATTACAATATCCAAACAGCAGAATAAAAGGTATTTACAAAATAAGTTTGTGTTTTTACCTCATCCAGGACTAGTATTCTGCAACTGTCCATAATTGCAACATTTTTGTCCATTAGGTCTAAAATTCGACCGGGTGTAGCAATAATTACTTGAACTGGAACAAAGAAATTAAACGGAATTACTATATAATACCAGTGTGAATCCATCATGGTTACACAAGGTGTGTGGTTGTATGCTGATGAATCATCAAAGAAAGAAAAATTCTATCCTGATGGCAAGTCAAAATCCAGTACAGTTACATCTTTCAGTCACATAGCATTTGGCGAAATTCTGATTTCTCCCATTTCATTCACATACATTTTAATCAAATTCTGGCTAACATGCACAAGACTCCTCACAATGCTCTCTCCTCCTACCACTCCATTAATTCCTTAATGACACTTTCATTCCCTTAATCTGTACACAGCAAAGAAACATGTATAAATTATAAACTATACGCTCTTGTTCCCACCTTCTAACAGGAATTTCAGAGAAGCCATAAAACTTTCAGCTGCACTGATATTTGTCTGCCCAATGTAGACCCGACGGCATTCCCAGGGGCTACTGTATACTCCCGGTGTCTTCAGTTCCAGGTCATCTTTGACTGAAGGAAACTAGATATTTTTCTGGGAGAAGGCCCACAGACTTGATGTTGTGCCACTGTGTGCTGTTCTGTCATCTCTCCCATCCCCCATAGCATAACTGCAATTCACCCCCTTGACAAGTCAGTTCCTTGCCCAACACACCCTTATACCTTTTCCCAGTCTCTCTCTTAGACCAGCAAAACTGCCCTTTTTCAGGGCCATCCTGAACTTCTGTCCTTTTCTCCTATTATTCAATCAGTGGTGTCACAGCCAAGCAGTTTTAATCTGTCCCACGGGAAAGCCAATGGGAACTGAGGTCCAGTCTTTTGTTTCCTTCCTGCTTTCTATGTGAGCCAAAATTCCAGCTAGCCGATTCCTCTGCTTGCCACCTACTTTCATGCTGGTATCTTGCTCGACTTAAATTTTTGACCCTGAAGATGAAGACAATATGTTCCTCCAAAATGTAGGTTGACTTCCAACGGACTACATGGTGTTGTGTCCCAGAAGACAGCACTCTTCACAACCACCACTGTGAGAACCTCAAATCCTATAATGTCTCTTGTCTGAAGACATGACCATGGCTCTCCTGTCATGTCAGAATTACTAACACTGGATCAAACATTTTGGATAATGATGAATGATATCTTCTAGGACATGAAAGCGCAGTCTTGTAGATGTCTAGTAACATTTCAGAGGAACATGCTGCCTCCACCTTCAACACAATGTGGTATAGATATAGGGATTAGGAAGGATGGAGCCAAAACCATGACATAACTGTACAATTTCATTCTTAACTAATGGTTCGTGTTTACTTTCAAAAAGTCTGTTCATTAACTGTGACTCTCAGGCTACAAGCATTCTAGCTACATCTTCGCACATTTCCTACAAGAAAATTAATTTCTGTATATCTAGGATCCCTTTCATTTTTAAATTAATATAGAAATGTGAACATTATGTATAATCCTCATAATCTAGGGTTCTTACTATGGGTTATACTTATGCCATACTTACAAGACTCCTGTTATGAAACAGCAGCAGAAGCAATAATAAGAACCCCCAGAAAGAATTGTCCTTCACACACAACACTTTTTCTCTACTGTGGCCCCACCCATGGTCTGTCTCATGTAGTCTGAGATGAAGTTAACAATGTTCTAATGGAGGATAGATCAGATATAATAGAAGCTTATGCCCCTTATAAAAATTGCAATACTGCTTCTCATCTTAATGAATACTCATGGAAAACTATCAAATAACAAACAGTAATTAAATACTTCTTTTGGCTTATTTTGGACTTCACCCATCGTCCGGTATATAAAAAAGACAAAAAACCACAACGTTTCGGAGACTGGATCTGTCTCCGTCTTCAGGTGTATAGGGAATCCAATCACCCTCCGCATGTCAAAAGAGGAACTCTTCATAGCCTTCATGATAGAGCTACCACTATATGCCAAGACCGGCAAGACCGGGTGTTGGAGGTTAACAATTTGAAACGCGACCTTCAACTGAGTGGTTACTCTCAAGGCTTTATTGACTCGGTTATCAGGTCCAAGGGCGGTAGTCGTCAAAAGAAAAAAGAGGAAAAGCCTCTTGGCACGGTGTACATCCCGTATGTCAAGGGAATCTCTGAGAAGTTCAAGCGCATAGGGAACCAGTACAATATTAGAACCGTCTTCAAAACTAAACACACTTTACGATCTTCGCTCGTGAGAACGAAACCAAAAAGGGATCCTCAACAGACGGCACAGTGCGTCTACAGCATTCCCTGTCAATGTGGCAGAAGCTACATTGGTGAAACAGGAAGACCACTGGCTGTTCGAATCCGTGAACACAAGCACAATCTTAAGCAGGGTCTTCTAGAGAAATCCAGGTTGGCTCAGCATGCATATGAAGAAGGTCACAGGGTCAGCTGGGATGAAGCTAGGATCTTGGAG